ACACCCTACACAAAATGGCGACAATGCGTGTGTATGTGTATATCTGTACGTGCGTATGCACATGTGGTACCCGGCGTGGTGATACAAATTGATAATATTGGGCGGTATTCATAGTCCGTTCTTATATTCAAAATTGCTTAAGCACGGACTTATATTCGCTCTCTTTGTCACACATAGATTGTGTCTGACGAAGAGAGCGAATATAAAATCGTGCTTAAAACGATCTTGAATATAAGAACGGACTATGAATACCGGCCATTGTAAAAATTCTTGAAAGATGCCGAGCAGTTGTTGAGCAGTTGTTGAGCAGTTGTTAAGCGGCCATTTTGTTGTAGGGTGTCATGACCGAAACCGGAAATCCTGCCAGCCTCAGTTTTTCCATACGTCAAAGTCTAAAGTTAGCGATCTAGTACTAGTATAGACATCTGTGCTGCACCCTGATACGAATAACGTTAGGTCTGTTCTTTATAGCTGAACTGGCTGCACTAGTTCAGAGTTTATCTTTTTCTCTCCATATTAGGTCTGTTCTTTATAGCTGAACTGGCTGCACTAGTTCAGAGTTTATCTTTTTCCCTCCATATTAGAAAGAAAAAGATAAACTTTGAATTAGTGCAGCCAGTTCAGCTATAAAGAACAGACCTATTGAAAGGAGAAAGATAAACTCTGAACTAGTGCAGCCAGTTCAGCTATAAAGAACAGACCTGTTATCTTTCTTATATTTCGTGTTATTAAAATATTTTACGCATATATTTATAAGAATATAATACAAAATATATATTAATATTTTGTCTATAAAAATATTAAATAATCATTTTTTTTTTGCAAATGAAAATGTAAAGCTTTGATTATGAAAGAAATGGTCGAGAGGGCGCGACAGTAGGATATAAGTTCCCAATTAACATGATGACCATCTTATCATACTAATTTTTCTTGGTTTCTTCCATTTCTCTACCATCACTTTTCCATTCCATTCCATTCCATTCTTCCGGTGCTCGCTTTTGCACGTTTGTATCGTTTGAGCGGAGTCCACGTTTCGTGTCGTAAGACTTAAAGGTATGTGAGGCTAATTTAAAAGTTATATTATATAGAAATATTCTGCATTCTGAATTATTCGAATATTGGTCGATTAAAATGATTACCATATTTATCTGATGGCATTTTTCAATGCGTCATATTATTGGATATTTTTGACTGCATCATGTTTGCACGAGTGTGACCCGTGAAAATATATGCAAAGTAACGTCTAATCGATATTATCTTCTTCTTTTTTCTTTATCTTACAGCACTCATTCGTCAAATTTAAATATCATGTAATATAATTTTTCTAAAATTAATAAACATTTCATAGAGTAAAACTCATATTCTCAAGTATGATAGGTTATGTTGTCTCACATAAAACATTATGTCTTATACACATTTAGACTTATTATTTTTGTATCAAGTCTATAAATCTTTCTTCTACTAAACATAATTAGCGTTTGAAATGATTATATTTGTGTAAATTGTATTGTGTCAAAAATTTAATAAAAATTATTGCTTTGCAGAATGCGTTACGTGGCTGCTTATATGCTGGCTGTTTTGGGGGGTAAAGCTTCCCCAAGCCAAAATGACATTGAAAAAATCCTGTCATCGGTTGGAATTGAAACAGATGCTGAAAAACTGAAAAAAGTCATTTCAGAATTGAATGGAAAGTCTATCGATGAATTGATTGCTAAAGGTATATCTCTACATATTTTTATTAAAAATATTGTTTTGCTTAGAAAAATTTGGTTCTTTTTTCCACAAATTATACAATAATGTATTGTGATTTTAGGCAGAGAGAAATTGTCATCTATGCCAGTTGGTGGAGCAGCTGCTGCAAGTGTTGCAGCTCCTGCTGCTAGCGCGGCAGCTCCAGTTGAAGAGAAGAAAGGTAAATTATTGCATTATAAATTTAAAAAATTGCTATCATACGATTAAAGTAGCATATTTTTAAGTTTTATATCGACGAGTTGATTCGTCAAGATTAATTATAAATTTAATTAATGTGTATGTATATACACACAAATATTGAATTGTATGTATGTATATCCATAAATGTGACAAATTTAATTTTTATTTTAACAGAAGAGAAGAAGCCTGCTAAAGAAGAATCTGAATCTGAAGATGACGACATGGGCTTTGGTCTGTTCGACTAATGGCACTGTTTTTTTTATTTTGTCACTAAAATGAAGTATGTTAAATTCTGTGACAATTGCATAAACTTTTATGTACAAATAAAAGTAATACTACTATGTGAGAACACATAGATCATTTTTGAATTTAATCGATTTTACAACTGCTTTATTTTACATCCATCTCTTCTTTTTCTGTATTGTAAATAATATGAATTACACGTACAATGCATAATTGTTTCATAACTAGATGCAATGGTGATAACTTTTAAAATACTTTAAAGTAAAAGAAAGATATAACTAGAAATGAAAAGAGAAGGGGATTTTATAATTGACTATGAAAACGTCACACATTCGTGCGCCGTTGCGGTTTCATTCGTAGCGGCGTAGTGACGAAAGGAGAAAGGGAAGGGGCGATGCGCGAGATTTACCACTGAATCCAATCGTGTCAAGTCGTGCTTGTATTCTTCCGCTCTTTAGCGTTAAGTCTTTCTCGTCAAGTTGAACATTAATATCATCGAAATCGTCGCCAGCAACTGTTCAAAAACAAATACCAGTGTTAATTAAAAATTAATTATCGATATTTGCAGCGTGATTTCAGCCACGAAGCATGATTTAACGTGAGATAACGGTTGAGAATTTTCATACGCGGGAACTATTTCGAGACAGAGGGGCGGCGTTGGCGGCCATGATGGGTGGCAGCGGCGAGTAGCGACTATATTCCGTCAGTTGGTTTTGCGCTTTGATGGTTGATGTCGAATATTCGGGAATAAAAAGCGCTCAATAAGTAGGAATAACTCGTTAATAGATACGGTTGGGTCCGCAGCCGCACGGCTACTCCGTAGAAAAGACAGCGGCTGAAAACCTTGGAGATTTTTCGAATATTTCAGCAAAATGACGCAGCTACTACCCATAAGGTTTCAAGAACATCTTCAGGTATGTTATCTATTTTCTTGTGATATTTCTCTCGTGTAAAAAAACGAAAGGTTACTGTTGCTATATTTATATTAACCGTGTCTTCTCGCGCTGAACATTTTCTTAACTATTGCTTTGACATCTTTTTTATGAGTCGTTAATTTGTTGACGAGTTATTTCGTCTCTCGTGGAACGGAAGCACAATTTTACGAAACTGACATTACTTTGACAACTATAACATTGTCGTACTATTCGCGTAAGATTCGATAACATTACTCGACTTGTCGAATAGCTCGTGCGGTCATGATTGTATTCTTCTGGCGAGATTCGTGGCACAGGTTAACTATCTGATATACTTAATTGATGTGTATATTACTTATAGGTAGGTGAAACGCAACAAAATGAATTTTTTTTTCCTACTGATGAACTATACGTGACACATGATGCTATCGTGGATTTATATCTGCCACGTATACGCCCCTTATTTCCGTCTTTGCTGCAACTATTTCTTATAGAATATTTCCTTATTGTTTTACGCAAAACTCAATATGTTGCCAATATTAACATTCAAATATTATAGGAAATCTAATGACTGTATTTTTCGTTCCTGACCTAAATGTGTTACGAACGAAACAAATCATGCTCTCCATTTGCAATAAATACTTTGTAAATTGTATTCAGGGACACATTTGATTTGAGTAACATATGGCTATCACAATATTGTTGGAATATTATGTTATCATAAAATTAATTTTACGAATCACTTTGCTGCAATTTTGTGATTATATTATAACAGCAAGCAATCCACAATTTAAGCATTGCGATACAACTCAATTGTCTGTGGAGGATAAATATGAGTTGATACAATGCATTTATTTTTTGACGCACTGTAATTGTTTTAAATAATTACATGTAAAAGATGTATTATTGGTAAAGTTGGTTTAATCTCTAGAGATAGGAAAGCTGATTTTTCAGTCTCGATTAGTTTAGGCGTTATTAAGATACATTTGTCTTGCTTCTAGTCTTCTAATCTACATCTTCTAATATTATTATTTAAGGAAATAATACACACCTGAAACTTTTCAGCTTTGTAGTAATTGAAGATTTTTCACAGAATGTCACTTTAGTACTTGTAAAAAAATTTTGACTTGAAAAAGTTGTCGAAAAATATATCTCTTTAGAGAGAGTATCTAGTTGATAATCAATTTACTTTTTAAAAAACAAGTAATATAAAGTTGGCTATGTAAGCTACATTCCAGATATATATCTACATCTTTTATTTTTACAGCTTACAGCTGTGGGGATTAACGCCAGCAATGTCAGCTTTAATACACTTACAATGGAATCTGACAAATTTATTTGTGTTAGAGAAAAGGTCGGTGATACTGCTCAGGTAGTCATTATCGATATGAATGACTCGGCCAATCCTATTAGAAGACCGATTTCTGCTGATTCTGCAATTATGAATCCAGCTAGTAAAGTCATTGCTCTTAAAGGTATGTACATGTGTAAATGTTTGATTTTGGGGAAAAATATACAATAATGTAACATGAGAAAATAGATTAATAAAAATTGCCAAATTGATAAATTTTGCAATAATTTTACTTACAAAGTAGCTAAAAAGTAAAATTTGTACACTTTTTCTCAAAATAATTTGAAACATGGAGAAAGCGCCAAATACGTGAGAATTACTAAAAGAAATATTTACTTTTATTTTATTCGGTATAGCTATGAAAACACTGCAAATTTTCAACATTGAAATGAAATCAAAGATGAAAGCTCATACGATGACGGAAGATGTAGTCTTTTGGAAATGGATATCGTTGAACACATTGGCACTGGTAACGGAAACCGCAGTGTATCACTGGTCCATGGAAGGCGATTCGACACCGAATAAGATGTTCGAACGACATTCATCGTTGAACGGCTGTCAGATTATCAATTATAGAACAGATCCAAAGCAAACATGGCTATTATTGATCGGTATTTCGGCGCAACATAACCGAGTAGTCGGTGCTATGCAGCTGTATTCAGTGGAACGGAAATGCTCGCAGCCAATTGAGGGGCACGCCGCCTCTTTTGCTCAGTTCAAGATGGAGGGAAACGCGGAAGCGAGCAATCTATTTTGTTTTGCCGTTAGAACAGTTCAAGGAGCAAAGCTTCATATTATTGAAGTCGGTCAACCACCCGCGGGTAACCATCCATTTCCTAAAAAAGCGGTGGACGTGTTCTTTCCACCCGAAGCCGGAAATGATTTTCCTGTCGCGATGCAAGTCAGCTCGAAATACGATGTCATATATTTAATCACCAAATATGGTTATATACATATGTATGATATCGAGTCTGCGACTTGTATATTTATGAATCGTATCTCGGGAGAAACTATCTTCGTTACCGCTCCGCACGAAGCTTCCGGCGGTATAATTGGAGTAAATCGAAAGGGCCAAGTTTTGTCCGTATCCGTGGATGAGGAGAATATAATCCCCTACATCAATGGGGTACTGCAGAATTCAGAATTGGCATTAAGAATGGCCGTGAGAAACAACTTGTCGGGAGCCGAAGACTTGTTTGTAAGAAAATTCAACATGCTCTTCCAAAACGGTCAATACGCGGAGGCGGCCAAGGTCGCGGCTAACGCTCCCAAAGGAATACTCAGAACGCCCGCGACGATTCAACGATTTCAGCAAGTTCCGACTACCCAAGGTCAAACGTCACCTCTTCTACAGTACTTTGGTATTCTTCTGGATCAGGGACAGCTGAACAAGTACGAATCGTTGGAACTATGTCGACCGGTACTAGTTCAGGGACGTAAACAACTGTTGGAGAAGTGGCTGAAGGAAGACAAGTTGGAGTGCAGCGAGGAGCTGGGAGATCTGGTGAAGCAAGCGGATCCTACGTTAGCGCTCAGTGTTTACTTGAGAGCCAACGTTCCTAATAAGGTTATCCAATGCTTCGCGGAGACCGGTCAATTCCAGAAGATTGTTCTCTACGCCAAGAAAGTCTCGTATACTCCCGACTATATATTTCTCTTGCGGAATGTCATGAGGATTAATCCCGATCAGGGTGTGGCGTTCGCACAGATGCTGGTCCAAGACGACGAACCATTGGCCGATATCAATCAGATCGTCGATATATTTATGGAGCAAAACATGGTGCAGCAATGCACGGCATTCCTACTGGATGCGCTCAAGAACAATCGGCCGAGCGAGGGTGCCTTACAAACTCGCCTCTTGGAGATGAATTTAATGTCTGCTCCGCAAGTGGCCGATGCTATCTTGGGTAATCAAATGTTCACTCATTACGACAGGGCTCACGTCGCGCAGCTGTGCGAGAAGGCTGGCTTATTGCAACGTGCGCTCGAACACTACACGGATTTGTACGACATTAAAAGAGCGGTGGTGCATACGCATTTGCTTTCGCCCGATTGGCTTGTAGGCTTCTTCGGGACATTGTCCGTGGAAGATTCTCTCGAATGTTTGAAGGCCATGTTGACGGCTAACATAAGACAGAATTTGCAAATCTGCATACAAATCGCGACCAAATATCACGAACAATTGACGACTAAAGCGCTGATAGATTTATTTGAGAGTTTCAAGTCTTACGAGGGGTTGTTTTACTTTTTGGGATCCATCGTGAATTTCAGCCAGGATCAGGAGGTGCATTTCAAGTATATCCAGGCGGCGTGCAAGACCGGTCAGATCAAGGAAGTGGAGCGTATATGTCGAGAGAGCAACTGTTACAATCCGGAACGCGTAAAGAATTTTTTGAAAGAGGCGAAGCTATCGGATCAGTTGCCCTTGATAATCGTGTGCGACCGATTTGATTTTGTACACGATCTCGTTCTCTACCTTTATCGCAATAACTTGCAGAAATATATCGAGATATACGTGCAGAAGGTAAATCCATCGCGTCTACCGGTGGTCGTGGGTGGTTTGTTAGACGTCGACTGCTCGGAGGACATCATTAAGAATCTGATACTGGTGGTGCGCGGACAATTTTCCACCGACGAACTGGTCGAGGAGGTTGAGAAGAGAAACCGGCTGAAACTCTTGCTGCCGTGGTTGGAATCTCGTGTTCACGAGGGTTGCGTAGAACCCGCCACTCACAACGCGTTAGCCAAGATTTACATCGATAGTAACAACAATCCTGAAAGATTTCTCAAAGAGAATCAATTTTACGACAGTAGAGTCGTCGGCAAGTATTGCGAGAAGCGCGATCCCCATTTGGCTTGCATCGCGTACGAACGTGGCCAGTGCGATCGCGAGCTGATAAGCGTGTGCAATGAGAATAGTCTGTTCAAGAGTGAAGCTAGATATTTGGTGAGACGCAGAGACCCTGATCTTTGGGCGGAAGTACTTTTGGAGAGCAATCCGTACAAGCGACCGTTGATCGATCAAGTGGTTCAAACTGCCCTGTCCGAAACGCAAGATCCTGAAGATATATCGGTTACCGTCAAAGCTTTCATGACGGCCGACTTGCCCAACGAATTGATTGAACTTCTCGAAAAAATAGTGCTGGACAGCAGTGTGTTCAGCGATCATCGTAATTTGCAAAATCTCTTGATACTGACAGCTATCAAAGCCGATCGTACGCGTGTCATGGAGTATATTAATCGCTTGGACAATTACGATGCTCCGGATATCGCCAACATCGCCATTAACAATGAGCTCTACGAGGAAGCTTTTGCCATTTTCAAGAAGTTTGACGTCAACACATCAGCTATTCAGGTTCTGATCGAACAAGTCGGCAATTTGGATAGAGCTTACGAATTTGCAGAAAGGTATGACGCACACACATGCATTGTATGGCCAAAAAATTCCGGGATTGAATTGATAAAAAGAAAGAAAAACATGAAAAAGTTAATAACCAAATTTTATCACTATTATAAATGTTTTATACATTTCTCGTGACGTTTAACGTATTCTGTAAGATGAGAATGAAATATCTGAAAAGCTTTTTCGCGATACCTTTTTCAATTTTTTTATTAGGTTTTTTCGAATATTCTCAACATTTGCAGATCGCTCCCTTTTAGGCACAATTTAATTTAAATTGAAACACAAAGTGTATGGAGAGGATATTAAAAAAAAGATTCCTGGAATTTTTTATGTTATTTCTTTTAACGTTTTTTCGATTTTTGTAGGTTTTTATAGGTTCACTTAAATCGTCTGTTTGTAGATGCAACGAGCCGCCGGTGTGGTCGCAACTCGCCAGGGCTCAATTACAGCAGGGTTTGGTTAAAGAAGCGATCGACAGTTTTATCAAAGCGGATGATCCATCGGCATACGTGGATGTAGTAGAAACTGCACATAGGACTTCACATTGGGAAGATTTAGTCCGCTATCTCCAAATGGCTCGTAAAAAAGCACGCGAATCGTTTATCGAGAGCGAATTGATATATGCGTACGCGCGAACCAATCGGCTTGCAGATCTCGAGGAATTTATATCTGGTCCTAATCATGCTGACATACAAAAGGTACGATATAAAGAATTATTTACATCTGTGCGTTGCGCCAGCGTAATACAATTTCTATGAATCTTTCCTTTTGTTCTCACAGATCGGCGATAGATGCTTCGATGATAAAATGTACGACGCTGCGAAGCTCCTATACAACAATGTATCAAACTTTGCGCGTTTAGCTATAACACTGGTCCATCTGAAAGAATTTCAAGGTGCCGTTGATAGCGCGCGAAAAGCCAACTCGACGCGTACTTGGAAAGAGGTTTGCTTCGCTTGCGTAGATAGCGGTGAATTTCGATTGGCCCAAATGTGCGGCCTGCACATAGTCGTACACGCTGACGAACTCGAAGACTTGATCAATTACTACCAAGATCGTGGACATTTCGAGGAACTGATTAATCTTCTGGAAGCTGCTTTAGGACTCGAACGAGCTCATATGGGAATGTTTACCGAGCTAGCTATTCTCTACAGTAAATATAAGCCTCAACGAATGAGAGAGCATCTGGAACTCTTCTGGTCGCGTGTCAATATACCGAAAGTGAGTTTTTTTTTTTATTTCTATGTGTGAAAGCTAGTAGGACATTGGTTAATTATTCGCGATAAACTAATGAAAATGTTCGGCTTGTAGGTGCTACGCGCGGCGGAACAAGCGCATTTGTGGGCCGAATTAGTGTTTCTCTATGATAAATACGAGGAATACGACAACGCAGTCCTCGCGATGATGCAACATCCTACCGAAGCTTGGCGAGAAGGTCACTTTAAAGATGTTATTACTAAAGTAGCAAACGTCGAGCTCTATTATAAGGCTATACAATTTTACGTGGAGTATAAACCCCTTTTGCTAAACGATATATTGCTCGTGCTTGCTCCACGTATGGATCATACTAGATCAGTGGCATACTTTACGAGAACCGGCCATCTACAACTAGTGAAACCATACTTGAGATCGGTTCAAGCTCTCAATAACAAAGCTATCAATGAAGCGTTGAATGGCTTGCTGATTGATGAGGAGGATTATCAAGGTCTCCGAACATCAATCGATGCGTTCGATAATTTTGATAATATCGCGTTAGCCCAACAACTCGAGAAACATGAATTGATCGAGTTTAGAAGAATTGCCGCTTACTTGTACAAGGGAAATAATAGATGGAAGCAATCTGTGGAGCTTTGCAAAAAGGATCGACTATTCAGGTAACGAATATAATTTAGAAATCTGCGCAATGTTTGTAGTATATGCAAACGCGAATCTCATTACTCGCTAATTCGACTAATTCAACTAACAGGGATGCTATGGAATACGCGGCGGAATCGCGAAATTCAGAAGTCGCCCAAGAATTGCTCGAGTGGTTCCTGGAAAGAGGCTCTAAAGACTGCTTCGCAGCATGTCTATTTCATTGTTACGATTTACTTCATCCGGATGTTATCTTGGAGCTTTCATGGAGACATCACATTTTACATTTCGCAATGCCGTATCTTATACAAGTTGCGCGGGAATATATTACAAAGGTAAAAATAACGAACAATGATAATGTCCACCAACTTTATATCGAGAACCACTATGATATTTACAGTGTTGAATATGTTGAATAGGTTGATAAATTAGAAGAGGCCGAAAGTCGACGCATCGAAGAAACTGATCATCAAGAGCATAAGCCTATGATTATGCGTAAGTGATTTTTTGTCACAACTACGAGAACCGAGTGAAAAGTTTTGCCTTCAGCTAAACAACAGAGGAAGATGTTTGAAAATTTGGCAGAAAGAGCAAAGCTTTTCAGTTCGCTCTTTCATAAGTAACGTGCAACAAACTCTACATTAACTACATTTTCTTTCTGCTGCATGATTGTTACGGCAACAGCGGAACCTCAGCTAATGTTGACTGCAGGACCAGGAATGATGGCACCAGGCTACGCACCTCAAAACGTATACGGTACGCCTGCACAAGTGTACGCGTCCACCGCAGCCTATCAAGGTTACGGTATGTGAAATACATTTAAGGAGACAGATCAACAAAGTCTACTTTTCTATAAAGTTTAGGTAGAACAAGATTGTTTGGTTAGCTTAATATATCGTTAAAACGAATACAAATGAATATCATTAGAAACGAACAATTGCCACGTTTAGATCGTGATTATAGTATAATGGGTGACGAAATGTGTTAGAAGAAGGTTATCACATACTATCTAAATATGAATTTGTGTAATTTATAGCAGAGACATCATCGAGTAATTATATTTCATCGTTTAAATAGTTGTTTAACACGGACTTTGTAAAACCGATATTATTTAAAGATGTAAAGTGTAAAGAGAAGAAAAAAATGGGTTTTTTTTTCCTTTTTTTAAATACGGTGCTCACAGGCTTTCTATTGGATTATTGTTGCGCAGATAGTAAAAATGTACGTGTGTGTATACACACACGCGCGCGCCACACACACATACACACACACACACACACACGCACGCACACGCACACGCACGCACGCGCGTTAAAATAACCAAGATATAATTTCACTGTTTTTGCTCTCACATATACATATGTATCTATGTGCCTTTCTTTTGGCTACTAAAAGGAAGCAAGCTTTTTTTCCGACAATATCAAATTCAGAAACAACATTAATTGTAATTTGTTAAACCGTAATTTTTGTACAAACTATACAATGCTTCCTTTTTGATAAGACTTTCGATTTTATTCAAATAGTCTCACACATGTATGTAAACAAGAATAAGAAGTTATGCAACTTAAAGAGTTGATCTTTTTTTTCACTTAAAGAAAAATAACAGCACTGTAAAAAAATATATATGTTTGAAACATCGTATGATGAACGATGAAATCGCGATGAAAATAAAGTGCTCTCGCAAAATTGAAATGTTATAAAAATATCTTTTAGATCGGGTAGATCATATATTATTGTATCAGTATTGCAACGAGAAGATCTTTCAAGATGGAGGAAATCTGTAGACGTTTCAAAATATGTTGGCGTATACATAGGAAATATACGTTGTTCTAGATCTACCTGTGTGTATATTTGCTTGGACATAATACGAATATACATGTTCGTAGTTAGTTTGATTTGCGTGAATGAATGATCATAAAATAAATTACAGATTTTGAAATTGATGGCAAGCTGTTATTGTCTTACTATGTATTGAAGAATATGAAGTAGATTGAGTTTTGCTCATTCTTTATATGTTTCACGCTTTTAATCTTTTACTGAATGATTTTTAGCATACACATGATCGTTTTTATTACATCTCTTATACCATATAAAATAATTTGCTGCTATTTTCTGTTTGTTTCGACTTCACATGTGTATGCATAGTACCCACCTTATTTGATTAATCATTACACAGCTTGGTGCAAGCTATATCTAAATTATGCAAATATTAAGATAAATTAGATTGCAATATTTCTAGAAACTGATAAAGTCATGTTGTTAAACATTTATGTCTTCTTAAATATTTGTGTTGCATGTACAATGCTATGTCAATGGATCAGGATCAATACATTTATACGCACGCACGCACACACACAAACACGCGCGCGCGCGTATGTATGTATGTAGTATGGCAGGAAACAAATACACAAAACAGGCATTAATTTAGTAATATATCTCATAATATATCTCACCTTTAACATTCCTAAATATGAGTTGCCTTGTAGCGTAAACTTGTATCACTCAACTATATCTTGTTCATGTTACATATAACAAAATAGTTATTTTTTATTTTAAATTATGAAGAAGAAGAGTTTATATTGATGGAAAAATCATGTTATCGATATGCTCGAGTAATAATTTCTATTATACATGAAAGTGTAAAAGAAAACAAAAGATCGATTTACATACATTTATTCGTCTTGTTTTCTATTGTGTTTTTTTCATCACATAAAGCTATTCGTTTAGTATTCTCCACAGTTGATCGTGCAATGATTCAACTGTATATTAATCATAAAAAAAAATGTTATGTCGAAGATGGTCGGTAACATGACTTGGTACTACTTTATTCTGACTTAAGCTTAATCAATAATATTGTAGATCTTTTTTTGTAATCAACAAAAAAAAATATATATATACATATATAATTATACCAATTGAGGATAATTATCATTGTATCAGTGTCATGTTTGGCCATAGTTTTAATAGAATATATGGGTCAAACATTTCTCAAGTAAAGATATTTAATTATTGTTTAATAGTTATGCACTTTCATATACATACACACGTACATATGTATATGTATACATGACACAACCTACACATACATTACAAAGATACATATATTATACATATACATATATAAATATAATGCTATATTATATATGACTAAATACTGTAACATATAAGTGTAGTAAATATACATTATCAATTCTATAATTGTAATATTTTACAATAATAATCTGCAAAGTAATAATGAAAGCTATACAGAAATAAATAATGCTAATTATATGAAATTAAGCTAAATTGAGCAAAAGAGTCACTATTGTTATCAATTGTATACAATTTTATAATATCTATAAAACCAATTTTGTTTATTTTCTATAATACTCTACCTTGTGAGGTAACTTCTTTATTTAGACTGTTAGTAATATTATTTTGTAAACGGTACAATTTATAGAGGACAATGTCTAGTATTGAATTTATTACAGTGTATTATGATAAATGTTTACAATATCATAATTGAACTATTCTTGTATTCTTAAATTTTTTAACCGATCGTTCCACAGGTCTCCCAGAGAGCAGCTTTCCAAATGCTTTTAATATTACACCATTGTTTAAATAAACATTAATCTTAATCACATCTTTTGGTATTGCTAAAGCAAAATTTAATAAAATATTTTAGCGATATAATCATGTGCAAATTTTTATAGCAAATTGTAGCATTGCATATACCTGTATATGCATACATGTAATACATACACATGAACACATACACACATTATGATAAACTGTAGAAAAAAATTAATTTGTAAATGTATTTTAATATGCCACTTACTTCGAATAATGTTGTCAGTTCCACAAATTCTAAAAGTACTTTTTGTGTCTTGTACGATAATTCCTGTGAGTCCTATCAAGCTAGGACATCTTGACTTGTCAATTGAAATTTTAGCACCATGAAAATCAGCTTTCATTAATTGTTGATTGATATTTTCCCAATTTGTTTTATTGGGATTCTTTGGTATATCGGTAAATGATACAATACCAAGCATTTCTTGCATATACTTTAACCATAATTGGTTTAAGGGTAAAAGATCAGAATATTTGATATTATTCTTGTAACCAATTTTGTTCAAACCAAAATGTACTCTTTTCCTGGTGGATAAAAATTTGCCTTTGCGATTTATTTTTTGCTTGTGCTTTGCCTTAAATTTATTAAACATAAAGACCTGAAAATTTAAATAAAAGTACCGTTTTTATTAATCAATTTATATCTTGATAATTGCTCTTTTATTCATCTTTTTACCATGTAGTACCTTTCGCAATTCATCTGGAATAGATTTACAATCAGATGATGGCAACAAATTTTGCAAAAAATTGACGAGATGCTGCTCGTTGTTTTCACAAATTGTAATACGCTGAGTTAAAGATTTGGGAAGTGGCGAGCATAATTCTGAAAGAAAAATTAATATTCAAATAATAAATTAAAAAGTGCAATTTTATTTGAACTGTTATATTCTATTGTGATATTTACTCGCATAACTTGACATGATTAGTTTTGTCTTGTAGTAGTCTCGCCTTTAACTTTTTTTTTATTTAATCTTGTTGAGAGAATTAATGTCAAACGCAGCTATGAAAACAAATAGTACTACATAACCACAGATTATTGTGTCTCCACTAAATACCACTACACACTTTCTAATGGCTTAGTTTACACCGATTGTTTAATACGCGTACCAAGTACTAAATCAGCTTCTTTGATTGGTGTAGATTTTGCACTAAACGATTTATACCTATCGGAGAAGCAGATTTAGTATTTGGTACGCGTACTAAACAATCGGTGTAAACTAGGCCAATGTATCTGATGCTTTTCAAATGGTATAAAAAGGGTTACAAACATAACATCTATACTATACCCTATTGTGCAAATATGGCTGCGTTCCGAAATTCACTGCCAGTATTGAAAATCTACAATATACGTAACGTAAATTATAGATTTTCAGTACTGGCAGTGAATTTTGAAATACAGCCTATATAGGTAGTTTTCCACCAAGAGGCACAAGCATAGACATTTATAATATACCTAGACTGTTGACTTGTCTGAAATACATGGCCGCAGAAAGTATGTACAAAACATGACGCATGCATACGAAGCAAGCGGTACGCATACACATAAAATGTGTGTATAATGATATGTAACTTACCGCTTACGACACGCTATGTAATACATAGATTTTGCTGCCATCTTTTAGGCTCGGTAAATAAGAGAGTCAACAGTCTAGTGTATACTATAAATATCTATGGACACAAGCGACACAAAAGTATTATTCTCTCTATTGCTCATTGAATATCGAACAAAGACAGAGTGATACT